AATGCAGCCTTGGTGAGCAGAAGTAAAATCTTAAAACTTGAGTGTGTGTAAATATGCATTTTTTGTATGAATGTGTAGGTGAGAGAATGATGAAACCAGGGTGTTACTAGGGAGTGCCCTTTTTTTTAATCCTCTATCCTTGCCTTTGCCTTAGGTCTGTGGACGTCACTGCTGTTGGGTGTCCATCAGTGTTGTAGTACTCGAGACTCGAGACCATATTTTAATGTTCTTGGTCTTGTCATGGACTCGTGTCCATTTGGACTCGGAATTGACTCGTACTCGAACATTTTTTTTTTTTTTAGGACTCGGACTTATTCCCGAGTCCACTCGAGTTCAATTAAAAATATTTTTCATGATTATTAATGTATTTTAATAAAATATTTCTTTAAATTGATTGACACACCCAGTGATTGGTGATTTTCTAGTGCGCAACTGCGCATGACAAATTGTAATAAAATTACTTTTAACACCACCTACTATGTGGCCTTTTTACCCTAAACTGATCATATTTTTTAAACTCTAAGTAAATTCAGTAAAAAAAAAAAAAAGAAGGATTTCTCTAAGTAAATAAAAGTAAATTAGGTAATCAACCCTCACTGGTCTCGGTCTCGACTCGGACTCGACTCGGACTCGACTCTCTATGGACTCGGTCTTGACTCGGACTCGACTCTCTCTGGTCTCGGTGTCGACTCGGACTCGAGTAAGGTGGTCTCGACTACAACACTGGTGTCTAATGTATGAACTTAGACATTTTTAGTATACTTAATGGGGAGAAATGTGTAAAATACTGACCCCTGGAGAACAAACTAGCAAAAACCAGCAAATCCTCCCTTATAAAGTAGGTGGCTGTAATGTATTTTCATGTAATTTGACAGATGATATTCAATTTGGTTGCAGGTTGTGGTGGACACAAGTTTGGAAAGCCCTGCTGGTCTTGCTATTGATTGGCTTACACATAAACTGTACTGGACTGACGCAGGTACTAATCCTTTATTGGTCCAAGTGAAATATGTTTATATTTATCTTTTCATGATATTTTTTTCTCAATAATTGTCGTTATCAAGGTACATTTTAAGATATTGATTTTAGAAAACATTGATTTTTAACACCTTTAGGCACAGACCGGATTGAAGTTTCAAACACAGATGGAAGCATGCGTACAGTTCTGATCTGGGAGAATCTCGATCGTCCCCGGGACATTGTTGTTGACCCGATCGGCGGGTAGGTCTCACCTTATTTTGCTCAAAACCTCATTTAATACTTGCAACCTCCTTTTGCCCAAATAACTGCTCTGAGCCTTTTCCTATAATGTTGATGAACACATGACCAGGTATCTGAGACCATTCCTCCATGGGGAATCTCTCCAGATCCTTCAGTTTCAGAGGTTCTCGCTTATGCTCAGTAAACCATTTTGGTGTTGATTTTGAGGTGTGCTTTAGATGTAGGACATTTACTTATTTTTTTATACTAATATATATTAGTATAAAAAATAAGTAAATGTCCCTCCTATATTCTTCTGAGTGATTCTGAGGAGCAAGTTAGTCCAAATAAAATGGGTATTGTCCCATCACAGGCAGCTATATTACACACTACATAAGGTAATATTCAAAAAATTATATAGGGGCACTTTCATATCCTTCAAGAGTCTAGCTGCTGCATTTTTAACTTTTTGCAATCGAGAAATGAATGATTGAATAATTCCTTTGTAGAGCGGAGACTTATAAGCATCAAATGCGATTTCTTCTCTTGGCTAAATTACATAAGAACTTGGTTTTACTATTGTGTTTATTTTGTTTCTGTACAGGAGAGGTTGTGCATAATGCCCTTAACGGAATTGCTTTGCCGCTTTATGCAAATTACTAACCTTAGGCACGTGGATGTTCATTTCGAACACTCTGAATTCATTAACATTAGACCAAGGTTAAGAACTAATTAATGCACATACACGCCTGTTGTGAAGTTCTTTGTTTGTTTGTTTTTTTTTTTTGTACACGCACAAAAGTTTCTCACAAAAACCTTCCTGTATATATGTAAAGAACCCAAAAAATTACACAATTATTAATGAATGAGACCCAATATCCTGTCATGGCCAGTTCAAGCTTCCTGACAGATTCAGGCAGGTGTTGATTTAATATGGAGGTAACAAGTTGTCCGGGACCTTTGGGAGAAAAACAACTCAATAACATCAAAGATATACACCATATTTCACAGTTGGCATGAGTGACTTCCATAGATAATGATTGGATAATGGAAATGGCACTTTTAAACAAAGAGGCTATTTTCTTAGTAATTTCCTAATTTGTGCAACTTAATTTATTGGGTCTTTCCCATAGTGATTGATGATAAAAGGAAATTTGGCCTGTGCATGACCTTTTTTGAATCCCAGTGAAACAGGAAATCATGGTTTTATCAAGCTGGTGAACTCAACATTTACATGTATGCATTTGGCAGATGCTTTTATCCAAAGCGACTTGCATTCAAGGTTTACATTTTATCAGTTCAGGCATTCCCTGGGAATCGAACCCATGACCTTGGCGTTACTAGCACCCTGCTCTACAGAAATGCTTAATGTTAACACTCTACTTGAAGCCTTTATGTATAATGCATTATAAAGGTATTCATAATATACATTATAATGCATTTTATCTTTACGTAAGTAATTGTAACCAAAGTTAAACTGCATTAAAATATTTAGCAGATTCCTTGTTACATAGGAACATGGTTGTTTGCATTATAATTTCTAAAGGTGTAACAATGAATAGAAAAGTTTTGTAATGTATTATAAGGTAGCCTGGCTTACGTCAGACCACGTCTCATTGAGATTGAGACTTGGGTCTGGGAACCACATGTTCATGTTCTCGTATTTGAGGCGTGACGTATGCCTTTTATTGGGTGTTACGAATGTCTGTCAAATGCGGCTGTACTTAGCTCACAGCCAATCGTTTCAATTATACCAGATGACGTATGTAGAGCGATAGAAATTAGACGAGGGAGACGACGATGGGTCATAGATAGATAGATAGATTATTTGTGTTCTAAATTACTTCTCTATCTAAGTCTACATCGAAAGGTAACTTCGTGTCTGCTGCCATGTTGGGTCCATAGATATAAACAAACTGCTTCGGTGTGTCGCATAGACGTCGCCATCGTCTTGCTACGTCCTCCCCGTTCTGTGATTGGTTCCCTCGCTGAGGCGAAAACTTATATAGTCTGGATAAATAGGTCACTATTAATAGGTCACTATAGACTACCTACAGGGGCGGAGTGGGACCAAAAAATCTACCGGGAAATTTCGTAGACCACCGGCCCTCGTCACCGGCACGATTTTAATAGCCGATAGCATTTACAGTTTTACTGATTTAAAAGGAACTTTGTTGTACTAGTATGCTGGAGTAAAGTTCATAAATGGTCATTCTTTGCCATAGTAATTTCTAAAACTATGTTGGGAGGACTCTGCCTCTAGGGGGATTCGGGGGCATGCTCCTCCGCAAGAAAATTTTTGACATTTTAAGGTTAAATGCATCAATCTCGTGCTCTCTGAGAGATCGAAATTAAGAGCTTCAACCCATGAACTGCTCGTTGAACAAAGAAAAAACATTAATTTGTTCCAGGACAATAAAGAGGGCTCAAACATCTTTTTAGTTATGAGAGTCTCAGTCTGTATTACATTATCAATGGTGTTTTAGGATGCCAAACAATTATTATAATAATGTAATAATGATTTATAATTATTCCCATGACGTACTTTAAAATCCATTTATAGCCTATAAATGTACTATGTAAATGAAAATGAGTATTTCAAAAGTATATTTTAACCTACATTACACTATAATATAGGAAAGTTAAAATACTTTTGTCCTAATTTCTTCATTTGCAATTAATAAACCCTGGAGGTTTTATTTAGGAGAAAACACCAGCAGCCTGATGATGATCGCGTCAGCAAAGTAATCACGCAGCACAAACAGGATGTTATTCTAATGTCAGTTATTATAATGGCGCAACGCCATATCATGGTTTCAATTTTAGTTCGTTGGCAAAATACAACGCTAGAGACCTTAGTGTTAGGTTTTACATTTTACATCTTTACATATCTGTGTTGGGAAAAGGGAGAAGAGAGAGTTCGGCAAGGCGGATTCGAACTCGCGTTCAGCGCATCAAAAAGCTGCTTTGCAGTACTTCACGCCCTACGACCTACGCCACTGAGGCTGTTTCATGACGTGTGTCGTTGTGCTGTAAAGACAGGCACTTAGTGCAAATATATGCTCCGTTATAGAAAATGTAAAAAAAAAAAAATGTTTTCTTCCCTTAGCTTGGGCCATGGCGAACTTCCAATAAATACATTTTATCCGACCTGGGCCGGCCCTCGCGGCCTCGAAACACTACCGGCCCACCGGGAAAACTCCCGACTCTCCCGATTGGCACTCCGCTACTGACTACCTATATAGTGAATAAAATTATAAGGTGCATTACAGGGAAGAATTAATGGATTAAAATGCTTTTCTAGTGCAGCATATATAAAGGCTTCGAGTGAAGTGAAGTATTGCAGTAGTAGTTGTGGATGTTTACATGACATAAAGAAGTATAACCTTATTTGGTTTGTTTCACCATAGATTCATGTACTGGACAGATTGGGGTGCAAATCCTAAGATAGAGCGTGCTGGTATGGACGCATCCAACCGTACGGTTATCATCTCAACAAACCTGACCTGGCCTAATGGGTTGGCAATCGACTACCACACCGAGAGGCTGTACTGGGCCGATGCTAGCATTAAGACCATTGAGTATGGCAACTTTGATGGATCAGGCAGACAGGTAGAAATGAGTGTGTGTGTGTGCGTTTCTTATTATTTAAATAGGCTCAAGGTTGCGGTTCATTCTTTCCCGCTCATTCTTCTGCTTTGAAGGTGTTGATTGGCAGTCAGCTGCCTCATCCGTTTGGTTTGACACTTCATGAAGACAGAATTTATTGGACAGACTGGCAATCCAAGAGCATCCAAAGTGCTGACAAGCTTACTGGTTTGGACCGAAGAACGCTGGCAGAAAACCTTGAAAACCTCATGGACATTCACATGTTCCACCATCATAGAACTACAGGTAAAATGGCACAATTGAGTTATGCATCAATAGAGCTATAATTTAATCTATAATAATTGAAATAATTGGAAATATACAATATAAAAAATATTAAATATAATTTTTATATATTCAAATATATAAATATTATTTTTATATATATTTAAATATATAACAAATAAAGTCCATTAAATTTGCCAGACTTGCCGACTGCAGCTTTAAAGTAGTACACTTATTTATTGAAGTATTTATTACAGTAAAGTACCTGATTCAGATATGATATTACGTTTAATGTTACTGTAATTGTACTAAATTGCAACTTCCTCAATACAAATGTATAGTTACAAATATATTTAAATACATGATATACAAATTTCAATAGAAATGACATTAAAGTATATTGTAATTTTACCATTATCTGTGTCAGTACAATAAGCAGTACATTTTAACCATGTTCCAAAGACATGTGTACATTTAAAAGTACATTTAAACAATAATACATTTTCATTTAAATTAAAATGTCGTTAAGGTTCCAAAAAGTTTAAATTCATTTCACACAAGTGTTCTTTTAAAGTATATTATTTTTATTTTGTATCTTTTTCTAGTAATGATTGACTGTTTTATGATTGATTGTAGGGCTGGGTAATAAATATCGATTTCTCGATATTAATCGATTCTCATTTTTACGAACCGATATCGATTCTTAAATCTCAAGAATCGATTAGTCATCCTGTTTCATTTGAATGAATGGGCCATTGTATCGCGGCTGCGCGCATCCAAAAAATCGCAATAATCTTTGTCCTTTGTTACTATTGATATGAAACAAAGTCTCAATTTTCAAATTACGTCCATTTTCATAAAAACATAAATAGTGTTTTGGCGCTGTGGCGTGAGATCGCTCTGGCGCAGCTCAAGAGAAACAGCAGCGCTGATCTCTCTTCCGGCTATAATAATACCAGCTACAGTGCGAAATAAACATGAATGAGCATCTGAAAGTGTGTTAAAGACAGAGTACAACTTATCGAAATCCGTATCATGTCACATTGATTCGCTCAATCTGCGTTTCAATCGTGGAAAGACGTCAATTAAACAGCTTGTAATCAATGTCATGTATCGTCATATTTACCTCAGAAAACCCACATAAACTCGTTAGTCCGCACTCGTTAGTGTTCTTAAATATTTAATGCATGTTTGAATAAATCTTGCAAGTTTTTATGACAGCCACCATTAAAATGTTTATATTTCATATAATCTTCTTATTATAAAAATAAATAAAAGTGTAATTTAAGTGTTTGTATAGCTACAAAACAGTTAATTATTACCTTCATATTAGGCTAATGAAGCCTAGTAGGCTACAACTAGACTCCCATAGTTTACAGCATTTAAGAGATTTGATTCCCTTGAGAAAAATTGCCATTTATTGTAACCGATATCCAAAATAATCGATATTGAATCGAATCGAATCGAATTGCAAGCTTGTGAATCGAAATCGAATCGAATTGTGAAATTTGTCTCAATACCCAGCCCTAATTGATTGTGTCACATACCATTTGGGCAAACAAATAGCTTGTTGCTAAAATCTCGCATCCCACCTGTCAAGACACAATGTTAGATTTGAAATAAAAACTAATCAGAGTCTAATTAAGATAATTGTTTAAATTCAGTAAAGTTTGACTAGGGGTGTATTAACATATCTGTGCTTGTGTTGCATGTTGCATATTTGAAAATATTTCAGTGTAAGCAATTTTTAAGGGTTTTAATGGCTCAACTTTTTAAGTTTGTTTTAATGTTGTATATCCAGCAGATTAAATTAGCTTATTTTATTTGAATGCATAGAATACAGTTAAGTATAATTAATTTTTCGGTTGGCATCCCGTTGACAACTGAAATTCACACACATGCCTAGCAGATCCGTGTTAAAGAGGAATGTGGGTCTCTGCCATATCAAATGTCTTGGGTTTTCAGACAGCGGATTAAGGCCAGTGATAACTGATCTTCAGTCTGGAGTCTCATTCGTGTATTATGATCTACCGGGACACCCAGAGGCCTGATAGGCATCTGTTACATCTGATTGAACGTCCATTTCTTCCCCTTTCTCTCTCACATGTCTCCACTTTTTCTCCTTTCTGTCTAAAGTCCAGACGCCCTGTTCGGTGAATAATGGTGGCTGCAGTCACCTTTGCCTCCTGGCTCCTGCTCCCAAAGCCTCGAGCTGTGCGTGTCCCACTGGTATCAACCTACAGGTGGACGGAAAGACTTGCACTCACGGTAATGCCGAAAGCCCATGCCACTCAACCCATCTCGAATATCTAAGGACCCAGCAATAACTGCTCATTCAGTAGCCATAACTCCACAATTGAGATGAAATTTAATGAAATGGCTGCAGGTGTTCTTTGCTTTTGGAATTCCAGGTGACAATTCGGTCCATAGTTTTTTGTTGCAAGGACAGGAGAATCTTTGAAATTTGAGGCTCATTTTGAGTTGCCTCAGGGGTTTAGGGGTCACCGTAATGATGTGTCAGTGGTGATGATGTCATGGTGCATGCCTGAAGGTGAGAGTCACTGACTGAAAACCGTTTGGTTGGTTTTTAATAGAATTCAGTTGTGGATTTGTCTCTTTTTGCTCAACTTAATTGCACTCTGACCATTTTATGCCTTCGATCAGCTTTGATAGAGAGCCTAAGTCCCTCCCCTTCCGGTCGACCACCATGGGACCTTATTTCGGAAATATATTGAATGGTAGTCAATGGCGAGAGACAACAAATATTTTGATCTCGTTTGAATTATGCCCTGAATTACACATGATGTTTGTCAATTTAAAAGATACATTTTAAAGTAAAGAAAGTCGCAGTTTGATGTAAATCCGTTGAGGTATAAGACTGTGAAAATACGTAATTACAAAGACTACAAACCCCAAAGGCGCACATTTTCTCCCAATGAATGAAGCTAACTTTACTGAGGCTGTCTGTCATTGTTTCTAGTCTTACGTTATAATCGTAACGTTACGCCGTCCTACCTGAGTGTTTTGTACCAAACTGCACACACACGAGCAGCGGATCTCGTTTCTCTTCCCGGGAGATGTAGTTCATAGAGCGATTTTCACATAAACTAAATGTTACTCTTCTGTTGTATGACAAACTGCGACATTTTTGACTTTCAGAATAATCTTTTAAATTGACAAACATCATATGTGTAATTGAGGGCACAGTTCAGACGGAATAAAAAGATAAGTTGTCTCTCGCCATTGACTACCATTCATATTTTTTCCAAAATAAGGTCCCATGAGCCGGAAGCGGAGGGGCGGGACTTAGGGTCTCTATTGGGTAGGCTTGTTTAATTGACACTTACACGTCAGGTACAAAGGTGCTAAATGCGCTTTTGACTTCATTCTGATTGAAACCAATAGATGGCACAAAAATTCAGATCAGCACTTTTCTTAACCACTTTGGAAATTTGGCTGATTCTTGATGCAATCGGGGACCGCAACGCAAAGTTGATTCTGTGCTTATTTGATATAGTAATAAATGTTAATAAAATGCTGTAGATTTGTGTTGCAAATGACTCGATAAAATTGTCTATATTTTGACCAAAAAAGGGTCTTATTAATGATTTTCAAGCTAATTAAAGCAACAGTTTTTCAAAAATGGAAGAATACTTAAAAGTATGGTATTTGGAAGAAATCTCCTTCAATACTCTTAGAATCTTTACTTTTTAATCTAATTTTGTTTCTATACTTTTAAAATGAACATATTTTAATGACAGTATGTTATTTATCGAAGACGTTTTATTTATCAAAATAATCCAAAAATAGTACATACTTTGCTAAAGTGATTGTTTTGAACAAGTATTAACTAGACATTATTAAAAACATTATTTTAGCTAAAGTATTTGTATAAATAATATGTGCCTTTCGCTTCATACTGCTTTTATCCTGTGTGTGTGTGTGGTTAAAGGCCTTAAAAAGATTGAAAACCACTTTTATGATTTATTTTCACACAAAATCTGTTGCTAAGTATAATTTAAACTGCTATAAAGCAATACCATGCATATTGAGGAGGAGATATAGATTTTAACAAATAAAAATAACCATTCATTAGCCATTAAAGAGCTAATTGATTTCTAATTGGTGCAGCAAACAAGTGTCCCTGGAACTATTTAATATTTGACCATTTATAAATCCATGTATAATGGACTGAGCATGCACATTCAAAAAGCAAATGCATGACTAATAAGTAATTATAATAATAATGTAAATAACTATAACTGTTCTTATAATGCAGTAAAGGTCTTAATGAGTCTATAAATATATTTATAGAATAGTTATACTTATAAATAAGTATAAACACGGCTATTCATTATAAGCATGGTCCTCATAGAAAGTGTTAGCATAAAGTGTTTTTCTTAAGGTGTGCCTTTAGCCTGTTGTATGGTACAGTACACCTACAGTACTATTCCTGTGCATGTAATTAATAAGTTCTTTTTTTCATTATGATGATGATATACTAATTTGCACTACATAAAAATAGCCCGTCTTGTTGGCAAAGGCTATTTACACTAGCTTGTAGCTTCACCCATTTTCTTGATTCAGACGAAATTAAAAAAAAAGAAACCATAAGGATTATTGGAACAGTGACGTGGAGAGTAGACTTGTAACGTACACATTTGGTAAGATGATGTTTTGTGGTAATGAACACTTTATTTACATTATTGTGAATTATTATAAATACCATATTATGAATTTAGATTTTTAGAATGCTTCTTTTCCATCAACCGTTTAAAACGAGTGAAGGAGACAGACTGAATAAATACGCACATTCACTCTCTGACAGAATGATGGCACTTATGAAAAGGCAGAAATAACGTGGTTGCTCTGGCTAACCATAAACTAAACAGTTCTGATCCTGAAACCCGCTTGTCACAGAGAAGAAAGGAAGTCAAACAGTACTTGCATGTTTTCAGATTTTTGTATTCGCTGTGGTGTTTATTAGACAACACCCAATACTTAAAGACTTGATATTTATTTTCAACCATTGGTTTTCATTTAAAACATTTTTACAATTTAATCTGGACTAAAACGTGCCAAATATCAGTTCTATGCCAGATATCGCTAATGTTCTGAATCTTTATTATTGTTCTGTGTGTGTGTGTGTGTGTGTGTATATATATATGATTGTATAAAAATAAAAAAATTGATTAAACTTGATTATGAAAGGATTCTTTCATTATTATTCTCTCTTGTCTTACAGCAATGAACAGCTTTCTCATCTTTGCCCGGCGGACAGACATCAGGATGATTTCTTTGGACATCCCATACTTTGCTGATGTTGTTCTGGCAGTCAGTGTGTCTATGAAGAACACGATTGCCATTGGAGTGGATGCCGTAGACGGTACAAGGAAATTCTCAATATATAGACACTTTTGCATATACTGTAGCGCTTATTCGGGGGGAATCAGTTTGGATATGTTCATGCTTCCGCAGGTAAAGTGTACTGGTCAGACAGTACATTAAAGAAAATCAGCAGAGCCAATATCAATGGTACAGAACATGAGGACCTTATTTCAACTGGTAATCTACAGTTACCCTCTATGCACAGTAATTGTATTAAATAACTTTTATCCACTCGCTCAACTTTCATTGATTTGGAAGTGTTTCCCTTCTCTTTCAGGTCTAATGACCACAGATGGTCTGGCAGTGGATTCAGTGGGCAGAAAAATCTACTGGACAGACACTGGGACAAACCGCATTGAGGTTGCTAATCTCAACGGCTCAATGAGAAAAGTGCTGGTGTGGCAGAACCTGGACAGCCCTCGTGCAATCGCCCTGTTTCATGAGATGGGGTAAATGTTTTGCCCTACACTGTTTTGACTCCAAACAATTCATTTCAGGGCAGATTTTGTTGTATTTTAAAATATATATATATATATATATATATATATTTTAGATAGACTTGATAAATTCCTATTCCCTATATAATACGCTATATGTGTTATTCACTTTGTGCCCTTGTGAAAAGTAGACTTTAGTATACTACTTTAGTATACTACTAAAAGATTCTACTTATCTGGGACCTAGATTTTGATTGCAATTAAATAAATATGTATTATAGTTTAAATTGATATTAAATGCAATTAGCTGAACTTTTGGTGTGCTTTTATACCTACTTTTTCCCTAAATACTTAAATTTATGGTAAACTAAAATATACTTTAATGTAATTTATATTAAAACGCATGTCTTGTTCTGTCATATATCTAAATATGTTTGTAATTACGCATTTGTAGTGAAGTTGCAATTTAGTACGCATGTTAACTTTAACTGTAGTAAGTTCATAAATATTACATTTAAAGTACTTTACATGTGCTTAAGAGTCAATGCATCAAAATAAGTGTACAAATGATTAAAGCTAATTTTTTAAAGTAAAACTTTTAATTTGACATTGTTACAAAAGAGTGTTAGTAAAGGTTCTTTTTAAAGGGATACTAGGAAATAGGCTCATTTGCCAGAGTTAAACAGTTGAGTTTTACCGTTTTTGAATCCATTCAGACGATTTTCTGATATTTAGAAGAATATCAGTAACCAGACAGTTTGTGGTCTCATTATGAGACCACAAACTGTCTGGTTTCTGATATTACTATAACTGTTTAACTCTGGGGGAGTTGTAAAATAAGCCTATTTCCAAAAAAAAAGTGGAGTATCCCTTTAAAGCTACACTGTGTGATTTTTAACCCCATCTAGCGGTGAAAAGGCAAATGACCATCCAGTGAATATCAGTTTCTGTTCCTCTCAATTCGAATTTCGTTTTAACTCCTACGGTGGCCAATGTAGTCCAAGATTAACATGGCTTCCAGTTCGACCTCTTCTGTGAGTGTTAACTCAAACGTAAACGCGAAAGGCGAAGCTTGAATTAACGGCTATGTCCCAATTTGGCTAATGTACTTTCAAGATGGAGGGGCAACATGGCGACCGACAATAGAACCCCTTACCCGTATGTATTTTCAATGGCATATTATACACTCACGAGAATACTTTATTACTCGAACGAAATAAATATACATTAATTAGCACATATATTTTTGAAAGAACAACGTGTTTTTAGCTAAGAATAAACTAAAAGAGTTACACAGTGTAGCTTTAAGAAAACCCCTCAGTGATTATAACTTGTTTCTTGCAGCCGGGGACAGGCACTGTATGTAATGATTAATATAAAATCTGCTTTTAGGTACATGTACTGGACCGACTGGGGTGAACATGCCAAGCTGGAGCGCTCCAGTATGGATGGTTCAGATCGTGTAGTTCTGATCAATAATAATCTCGGCTGGCCTAATGGACTTGCCATAGACAAAGCTGGTTCACAACTGCTCTGGGCTGATGCACATACTGAGGTTAGTGTATAGCAACAATGCATGTGTTTCTAAATAAGTTTGAGTTCAGAAAGACTTGAAAGTCAGGTAGTCAATTAATGTATGATAACAATCTGATTAGAATTGTATAGCCTGACATATGAAGTAATAGTCAGAAATATCACTTTTTTTATGGAAAAGCGTATGAATCTTTACCTACAAACTTAAAAACAAATTGCATATGTTTGAGTATCATATGCTCAGTCTTTATGGTTTATACACTATGATATAATTGTGAATTGTGACATCGTTATTACAGTATATCATTGATTGCATACAATAGATATTAAGTGTTAATCATGTTGATAATTTACTCTTGTAAATTTGCATAACAGGTATGATACATGCGTGTTCCATCCTTTAGTGTAACATTTTGTTCAAGTTTCCCTACAGAGGAATGATACGACTTGTATAAATGCTAACTGGTTGAATTAAAATAAATCTTTCTGAACCTTTAGCGGATAGAAGCATCTGATCTTAATGGTTCAAACCGGAAGACCCTGGTGTCTCCTGTGCAGCACCCGTACGGCCTCACTGTGTTGGGACCGCACATGTACTGGACCGACTGGCAGAGCCGCAGTATTCATAGAGCTGACAAGGGAACTGGAGCAAACACCATCACAGTCCGCTCCAACTTACCTGGTCTCATGGACATCCAGGCTGTTGACCGCGCAAGACCTTTGGGTAGGTCGCAAAGTAGTACAGTGGGGTGTTATCTTGTGTTCATTCTCAAAGCCTTTCGCATTGTGCATCCAATAGCCTTCATGTTTAAAAAAAAAAACAGTCGATATGATAAAAAACAAAATCTGTCATTTTTAGAACCAAAATTTGTGTTTTGTCATGAACTAAAACTTTTTTAAAAATGTTAATCGTTAATTGAAATAAATCTGAAATGCAATAAAATAACAATATTAGATTTTATAATACATTTAAAAAATAATAAGTATTAGAAATGTAATATTAGAAAACTTAAATGACAATAAGAAATGTTGTTTTGGCAGCTAAATTAAATCTTTTTGTTTTAAAATTACTGAAACTGAAATCGAAATGATCAATTAAAGCTAAATAGAAAAAAAAAGAAGAAGCACACAAAATTACTAGGGCTGTCAAACGATTAATCGCGATTAATCGCATCCAAAATAAAAGTTTGTGTTTACATAATATATGTGGGTGCACTGTGAATAATTATTCTGTATATATACTGTATAAATACACACACATGCATGTATATTTAAGAAAAAAAATATTATTTAAATATAAAATATTGATATTTATATATAACATCAATCATATATAAATCTATATACAGTATATACATGAAAATATTTCTTAAATGTATACAAGCATGTGTGTGTATTTATATTTATAAAATAATTATACACAGTGCACCCACATATATTATGTAAACACAAACTTTTATTTTGGATGCGATTAATCGCGATTAATCGTTTGACAGCCCTAAAAATTACTATTAATAAAATTTAAATAAAATGAAAACAACGTATAAAAATAAAAGCTGAATTTAAATAATAATAAAAAAAGTTGCTTATGTTTGAATTTAAATAGGCAAGTACTTTGAATAGATCTGGAGTCTACAAGATCTTGACCAGAAATTGATGGAAATCAAGATCTTGTATTGTCAATGCAACTCCAGCACTCTGTAAAGTTTTCATTGAATTTAAGATTTGGACTATGGTGCCAATTCATGTGTGAAAAATGATTTTTCATGCTTCCTCCAAACCATTCTTTCACAATTTGTGACTGATGAATCTTGACATTGTCATCCTGAAATATGACTATGATGCGTCTTTGGTTGTTAGCTACACGCTCCATCAATTAGGAGAACTGTTGGCAAACATATAACATGCTAGAAACATAATAATCACTACAATAATGATCCAATCATGGACTCTTAATTAGTTTCCTGTCTAAATCCAAAAAGCGACTTTTTTTTGTCTGTGCAGTAAACGTAATATTAAAATAACGCTAGTGTACAGTACACTCATTTTTGTCACAGAAAGTGCCTGCTTTATATCAACCTTTATCCTTTTTTCCAGTAAATAATTACAACAATGTGCTTGATAGTTGTTAATTGGTGAATAATGTTGTCCAGTTCAAGGCTTAGCAAAGCTTGACGTATAATAATACAAATTGATGGTGATTTTTTTGGCATGATTGTCCTTCCTGTTCCTGCAGGCTTCAATAAATGCGGCAGGAGAAACGGCGGCTGCACTCACCTTTGCCTTCCTCGGCATAATGTGACGTCTTGTGCTTGTCCCACGGGTATTCTGCTGAAAAGTGATGGAAGGTCATGTGACAATTTGCCTGAAACATACCTGCTGTTTTCGAATCGCATTAGTGTCCGACGAATCTCTCTAGACACTAATGACCATACGGATGTGTACGTTCCTGTGCCCGAGCTGCAAAATGTTATTTCCTTGGACTATGACAGCATGGAGAGGAAACTGTACTATACAGATGTGTCTCTGGATGTCATCAGGTATGATGTCTAATACTAAAATGAATCATTATTCTTGAAATAAATATATATATATATATTTAATTATTTATATGAAGAGTTCAGATGCAAAAGCCTCTAAATGCCATTTGAAATTTTCTTCTAGAATGATCATTTTTATCAAGCTTGTATATTTAAGTTCAGTGATTTCACTTAAATGACAATGATAATTACCTATTAATTGTTATTTAAGTGAAATTACTGAACTTAAATATACAAGTTTGATAAAAATCATCATTAAAGAAGAAAATTTCAAATGGCATTTAGAGGCTTTTGCATCTGAACTCTTCATATATATATATATATATATATATATATATATATTTTACTGCATTAGTGGCATACTATCTTTTATCCTGCAAGATTTTTCAAGATTTTTTAGTTTAAAAAAAAAAATCTCCATCCTGGCATTTACTTCTATTTTAAATGCCATGTATTGTTAAGCTCTCTTATATTATTTACACAATATTTCATTGTTTTCAGACGGGTAAATTTAGATGGCAGCAATATGGAAACTGTGATCAGTCATGGTCTGAAGACCACTGATGGACTTGCTGTTGACTGGGTCGCCCGCAACATGTACTGGACAGACACTGGCCGTAACACCATTGAAGTGGCTCACTTAGATGGCACATCTCGAAAAGTTCTGGTGAATAACAGTCTGGATGAACCAAGAGCTATCGCTGTCTTTCCTAGCAAAGGGTGAGAAAGGCAAACATATTATCATTTACTTCCAGTTCTGTTGATTTATGGATTTCTGTATATTTAAGGCTCCGATATAGACCTTATGCACCAGAGAAACAAGGGCGCCGCCATCTTTAGAATATTCTGTGATGCGCGTTCGTGAATCTCCTGTTCGAACTCGTTCATCAAAATGAACAAATCTTTTTCCAAATCAAATTGTTCATTTTGTTTGTTGAATAAACCAAATGACTCGAAAAAGATTCATTCATTTTGATGAACGAGTTCGAACAAGAGAGTCATGAACGCGCATCACAGTACAGAGCAAGGTGACCATTTGAGCTTATAAAACTTAAACTTTGTTATTTATTTTTTAAAAGACTGATCGTTTCACTTGATAAGACCCAAATCTCGAATCATTTAAAGCCCTTTGAACAGTTTGCGGTTTGCACTGAAACTGTCTTTTGGACCTTGAACCGTTTGGTTACCAGTAAAAGTCCATTTTATGGAGAAAAATCCAGGAATGTTTTCATCAAAAACCTTAATTTCTTTTCGGCTGAAGAAAGAAAGACATGGACATCTTGGATGACATGGGAGAGAGAAAGAGAGAAGGGAGTTACTATATATAGTTACTATATTTTTACTAATGAATGCTTTTAATCATTCTATTCTTTGGCAAGGTTCTTGTTCTGGACAGATTGGGGTCATATCGCAAAGATTGAACGAGCGTACCTGGATGGCACAGACAGAAAAGTCCTCATCAACACAGATCTTGGATGGCCAAATGGCTTGACACTGGACTATGACACTCGCAGGTAAAAGAGGAGAATTAATTAAAAAGGGGAGAGTTTCGATGATGATTTATTGAAAGATGGCACACATGTGGACCTTAAACCCATCAACCCAATCGACAAAATTCTGATGCACTTTTTTGGCCACATACACTTTCCAATGTTCCCTGTTGACTGCATAATGCCTTTCTGTACAAACACAGTTTGTTCATTTTATTGCATTCTATGACCAAATTTGCTGAAAAATGCAGGAAGTGACAGCTGCATTAACAATAAATCCATATATGTTCAAACTTTAAGTGAATGAAGTTGTTATCCAATCACATCCCTTTGTTGAGGCAAAGTTGACACATTAATTTGGTTTCCACCGTTGGTGTGTTTATCTGCTTATCGGATAAAAAGTGATCTGCCTCAAATGAGTGTATACTTTTTTAGAATTTAAAACAGTTTCCTGCCGTTCTTGCTGTTTCCATCCAATGTTTTTTGAGGTATCGCAAAATTCACATAAATATAGGTTGATGGAAACACAAATACTGACAAACCCTTTAATCGTTCTCACGCTAGCCATGAATAGCCACGATTGTGTAAAACGTAGTGACTTAATATTATAGATGGCAAGTTTTTTCACTGTTGACTCAACACACTTCCAAAAAGCTCAACAAAACAAGCCCCAAATGAAGAGATTTGCAAGCAAATAAGCCCAAATATGTGACCATATTCAGAAAATAAGACCAAAAAAAATGGCAACCAAGTGTTGTCCTTATTTATAAGCCACCAGAAAACCTTCTGCCATTGGCAATTTCCTGAAAAAGGCACCTTAGTTTCTTTGGTCAAATCAAACAGGTTGGCATTCATGCTTCTTGTTCACAGTCATGTTTATCACTATCTCAGTCATTGCAATGTCAAGGGTAATGCACACCTAATGATTTTTGGAGATTCACTACCATATTTAAACACTTTTATCACTAGACTGCAGTGTGTATGTGGCCTTAGGTGAAACATGCACACTATTTCTGTTTTTGAAAATCATTTTGATTTTAAATTTTGTTCTCCTTTCTATCTTCAGTTTTACACCTAGCTATACTTTTTTCAATGCCACTTTAGCACTAACATCAACTGGCTTTGACTGTTCAGGTACTTTCCATGAATAGGGTACAGTTCCTAGTAGAAAGTAAGGGAAACTAGCTACTGTAGTTGCGACTATTCATTTAGATTACATTTACAAACTTAGTTTAGGTGTTTTGTTTATACATTTTAATCATGACAACTCTCAAAATAAATGTACAAGGTTGTTATAGTTAACTAAAACTAAAATAATTGTAAAAAATACTTTAAATAAAATAAACAACCCCCCCCCCCTTTTTTTTGTCTATTTGTCAAGCAACATTTCTCATTTTAATTTAGTTTAACTTGATGTACTAAAATAACTAAAACTGAAATCTAATTAATGAAACTATATAAACAAAAAAATCTAAATATAGATATTGTATATAGAAAAACAAAAACTACTACTAGAAAAACTAAAAAATCGAATATAAAAAGGTTTCAAAATATTGAAAACTATAGTAGTATCTCAATTATACTAAAAAAACTGTAGATTTATAATAGCATTTTGTTAAGAATAAACCACAAGTAGGATTGCCTTAGTAGGATAAATAAATATATATATATATATATATATATATATTCACTTGTGCCATTTTCATTATAATAAAACAAACATTACATCACAAATTGTGATTTTTATATATTGATAATTGTAAGAGCTGAAAAAATAGGCTTAATATCAACATTTTCTGAATACTCTTTTTACTTTTGACTTTTTCATTTGCTTTAAGATGTCTTCCTCAAAGCATTTCAGACTCTTATTTTGTACCATAATCATGGCAAGTACCTTTTAAACATTTTGGAGAATCATCACTGAATTATCACGTGATTTCATGTATAGGATCTTTTGGGTGGATGCACACTTGGACCGCATAGAAAGTTCTGACTTGAATGGCAAACTGCGTCAAATTCTCATCAGCCCCGTCTCACACCCGTTTGCCCTCACGCAGGTACCTTTCCATATCTGATCCTCACCCTCACTTATCGACTCAATGTGTGTCACTCACACCACCCCACCTCCTGCTCCACTGACCCATCCTCTCTTTCACTTATGTCTCTGCATTTATAACCTTAGCATGATGTTCTCTTCCTTGGCATCTTTCCATTTTCTGACCCTCCTTTTTCTTCCCCCCCCCACCCCCACCCCCACCCCCCCCCCCTTCTTTTTTTTTTTTTTTACCCCTTTTTCTTTGTTTCCAGTTGAAACCGGTATACTCTCCTTTAACTCCTTTTCCCCGAATCTCACAGCAAGACCATTGGATTTACTGGACGGACTGGCAGACCAAGTCTATTCAGCGAGTAGATAAGCATACAGGTCGTAGTAAGGAAACTGTGCTGGCTAATGTAGAGGGCCTCATGGACATCATAGTGGTGTCACCACAAAGGCAGACTGGTAAGATTGACTTATTTGGCCTGAACTGGAGAGCTCAACTTGTCTACATGTTTTACTTTGAAGGGTTATTGTGGGAAAAAAATGTTGTTTTCACCTCAAGTTGTTCCAAACCCGTCCGTATCAGTTTCTTTCAGATGTTGGTAACCAGACAGCTGACGCTAACCATTGACTTCTATAGTTTTTTCTTTTCCTATTACTGAAGTCAATGGCTACCGCTAACTGTCTGGTTACCAACATTCTTGAAAATATCTTGTATTTATATTTAAAAATATATTAAAAAATATATATTAAAAAATATAAAAATTATATAAAATATAATATAATATATAAAATATATAAATATAATATTATAAAATATAATATAAAAATATATTAAATATATTTGTGTTCAACAGAAGAAAGAAACTGTTAACCTCTATATTAAGCATCTTTACAGCAGCGGTTCTCAACCCTTTTGCCCCCTAAAATGGACTATTTCTGATAGAATTATGATTATTAACTAAAAACGCATGGGAGTATTGATGTATTCAATTTAAATTTTTTTTATTTAAGTTTTAGTGATTTTATGTGCTTTTGTTATTTTTATTCATTTGTTATATATATATATATATTATAATTTATTTATTTTAATTTAACTTATTTAATTTAGTTGCCAAGCTTTTTTTTAATTGATTTTTTTTTTTAGTGTTTAGTTTTGTTTTCTAGAAATTTGAATAACAGATGTCTATATTCATCAGAATTTTGGCCTATGTAAGCATACTTCCATTGGAAGTGAATATTCATTTATTATTCACAATTCATTTGGTCACTTCAGAAGTTTAAAGATATTTGTTCTTCAATTAAAAGCAACAGTTTTGAAAAGGGAAAAAGATTTTTCTATTATTATTTCCATTTGATCATTCAACATTATTATATTCTTATGTTGTATAAGAAATTCATTTTCCATTTATGTCATGTTTTTTGTTAGAATAAAAAAAATCTAGTTTAACATTTGAATTTAGATTACGCTTTGATTTATTTTAAAATATTAGTATTACATGTATTAACAACATACTTTTTAGTCATCTTGAGAATCACTGCTATTCATAGATTTCAGTCATGTGATGCCACGGAGACCTGGAGGGAAAAACATACATAGAACTACAACACAGACCTATCAATATCACATCTCAAAAGAAGAAAAAACAAAAACATGTGAACAAAATGCAAGTTTTAAGTGCTTGTGATCCATAAACTGTATTTCAACCTCTAAAAACAGCGGGACATTCTGAAACGCTTGACTGGTTGAGCGTTTTCTTTATAATGGTTCATCTGCTTGCTTGTATAGTATGCATCATCACTAAGATGTATACTGAATTTGATCTTTTAATATCACTGTCTTCCTACATTAGTATTTATCACAAACCTGGTAAAAATGACTGGCGGGCAATGGAGGAAAGCCTTGTTTGGCCCTCGAGGTGGGCATTCCTAAGGTCATGTGAAAACTATGAATGCTGCAACATTGGCTGTTGAATTTCATTTAAAATTGAGTAATTTCTTCTCTGAAAGAAATTCTGACTAAATGATTTTTGTAAATCTTCTCTGCAAACAGGGAAGTGTTTGGATTCTTAGGGGAAATGTTATATATAAATCTTCTGTGGTCCAAAACGGTGTTTTTCCAGCGCTGATCCTGGATCCCCTAACATCACTGCACATTTTGTATGATTCAACTTATCAGCTCTTTAGAGGAACACCTGAAATGTGTTCATCAGATATGGGAGACGTCCAAAATGTGTCCTGGACCAGAGCTGGAAAACACTAGTCTCATTTATGGTCTTTTGTTTGATTTAAATACAAAGATTGTTACCTAGATAGTGTAGTTTAATCATATGTAATATATGTTCAAGGTATTTTTAAGATTGTTATTGTTGCATGAACAGTGAGTACAGTAATGATGAATAAATGTTATAGTCGCCATTCCAATATAGTAGTAACATTTACAATACTTTCTTTCAAGGCACAAACTATTGCAGTGTGAATAATGGGGGTTGCACACACTTGTGTCTAGCGAAGAGCAACGGTTTTGTGTGCGCGTGTCCAGATGAGCCTGACAGCAGACCCTGCTCTACAAGTGAGTCCAACATTGAGATGACACAAATTAATCATTATATTAATGATATAACTGTGTTTACATCTACCATATTACCATTTTAGTGGTATGCACTGTTGTAGTATTTATTAATATTTTGTAATGGTTTTTATTTTTGTTTTTTCAGTTTTCACTTTTGTGAAAAGTTAGTTGTTTTTTTTTATCATGTACAGATTTTTTTAGCTTTTATTTCTTTTTATTTAATTTAGTAATTTTAGTACTTCAACTTATTTCAGTTAGTTGCCAAGGAAACTGATTCTATTTTTTTTTTAAGTTTTTCATGTATTTTTTATATAATTAACGAACACCGTTTCAGTTTTGTTTTCTAGAAATTTGATTGATAGCTTAAATAGGCCTGTATTTTCATTGAAGTGAATATTCGTGTATATTTGCATGTCTTTATTAATTATTATTAATACATTAGCATAAATAGTAATTATCATTAATATTACAATTCTGCCCAGTGTTATTTTTGTCATCAAAATATTATTGTTTTACTATATTTATAGTATATTATATACTATATTTTTAATGTTAGTTCAAATGAGTTTTTGAAATATTATTTATTCATTTTAATTAGAATTTTAGTTAAAGTTTTATTCTTTTTTGTTTGTTTGTATTTGTCTTTTGTGATAGTCTTTAGTTTTTTTTATGTCTAATTATTAATTATATTTCAGTTTTAGTTTATTTTAGTCCATCAAGTTTCAAATAACCTCCCTATGGTATAATAACCCTGATTCTATCTCTGGACTAGTCTCTGGTTACATTCCCACGGCACCTGAGAAGGGCACCATGGGTACTCAGGCCCCTAAAAAACTCCCCACAGAAAAACCTCACAAAGGCCCGTCGGTGGTCAAGTAAGTCAACTGCGACCATTCAGTCAAAAAATAAAAAGTTTTCTTTAAAGAATGAAGTCAAATCCCATCACTTTCTCCTCACAGTTGTACAGATGCAAGTCTCAATAAAGAGGACTGCTCTAAGAGCCATGTGGTTTCTGCACCTCGGGGTAAATGGATTACAATTCTGTTGTATAAGAGTAATAAACATTATGAAGCAAGTGTGAATGAACATTTACATTTTGACCATTTCTATAAAGACGCGAGCCCTCATATCAGCTACGTGATTGGCGGAGCTCTGTCAATTTTGGCGATCCTGATACTCATAGCTGCATTCATTATTTACAGGTTGGTCTCCAGGTTTTATGAAGCACTTCCATGATTTCATTTTTTTTTCTCAGCTGGTCATACTAATTTTTTTGTTGTTTTTTCTGCTTTCCAGGCACAAAAAATTCAAGTTTGCAGATCCAGGAGTCAGCAACTTGACATACAGCAACCCTTCGTACAGAACTTCAACACAGGAGGTTAAAATAGAAACGGCCCAGAAACCTACAATAAACAACCAACTGCGATATAAAAAAGAGGTATTGTTTATTGTTCTTTCCGTTTTCACCTTCACGTTTAGTTGAATGTAAATTGTTATTGATCGGTACATCTGTCAAGTCAAGTCACCTTTATTTATAGCGCTTTATGCTACGTTTACACTGGACGCGAATAGCGCGTCAGGCACGAATGATTTCAATGTTAAGTCAATGCAAAGACGCGTTACGCGTGTAAAAATTTCCTGCGGCGCGAATGAGGCGTGGAGCGCAGCGCGGAAGACACGAATACGCCTCATTCGCGCGAATTGAGCGTCTGGCGCGCTAAGCGCGTTACGCGTGAATGATTTAGTTAGTGCCATTTGTGCATTCACGCGTTTGATGCGAATTCACGTCTGCCGCCCGAGTTGAAAAATCTGAACTTTGCCGTGAATTCGCGCCGCGTTAACCAATCAGGAGCCTAGCTGCTTGCTCACGTGGTGAAGTGTCTGGATGCTTCAATAAATTATTTTGTATATGACTAAATGCATGGTGGGATTATGCACAACAAAGCAAATATTTTATCACTTAAAACATTATTTCTATACGAGACATGGTCATTTTGTATTGAATGTTATTCATTCCATATCTAGATTATATGAAATAGTATTATGATGTAAAGACAACATATGTGCATAAATTCATGTCTGGACGTGAGAGAGAAAAAAAATCACAGGACAAGTTAATAGCTTTTGGAAGCTGGCTCTATTTATCATCAAAACAAAAATAAATGACAGCTAGATTAGGTGGATGAGGGCAAGGGTGATCCTCGCTCCGATGCGGGACAACAGGTCATCAAACTGGCCGCGGGACAGGCGGAAGTACCGCTGACAGCGGCCGTCATCCAGCGCAGCTCCTGGAGCGAGCAATTGGTGAAACTAGCCAAACGGTTCACCTCAGAACGGTCCAGAGGAATATACGGCGACGATGATCCCCACGCCACTGTTCTGCTCTCCGGAGTAAATACAGAGCGGTAACTCTCTTGATGTACTCGGTCGACATAAAAACAATGGCCGCCAACGGATTTCGATTCTGACGCGCGTAAATTTCTCTTCAAACTTTTTTTTTTTTACGCGCGTCAGTTTCACTCTTGACACGCGAATTAACACAAAGTGGTCACGCGTCAAACTAGACGTGTCAGGCGCGAATTTGACACGCGACTGAACGTAGCATTATACAGTACAGATTGTTGCAAAGCAGCTTTACAGTGATGACAGGAAAATAATCTTTTTTTGGCTGTTATTCATGACTGACATAATTGTTCTCATCATTTTGTGAGCTGTATTCGGTTCCCACTCATCTTTTTTTCCCCATGTTTTCCACGGCAGCTCAATCATCCTTACAACTCCCTTTCTCCTTTCATCTTTTGACATCCCCTTTTATTTTCATCAGAATGGCAAACAAGGTAGTCATAAAAATTAGGAAAATGGATGCTTCCCTAATTTGAAGTCAGCCTTGTGATTGTGACCAGCTGTTATGCTCGATCTCAAATCCAGCATCCCAACTTTTTCTTCATGCATGTAATCAGTTTGAAAAGAATTTCTGCATGAACATGCAAGCAAGATAGCATTTATAGATGTTACTAAGATGATGAAATGATATATAGCCTATTCTGCCTGAGGTAGCATGAGTTGCAGTGGTGTTTTTCTTTATTCTTAAAGTCAGCATGAAATCGAAATGTACCCTATTTACTTTGGTAGTGCTCATTACTAGCCTTGTGGTGAACAATTCATCCCTGCAAGTTAATTAATCTGAAAATGTACTAGAATAGCCTTTCTTCTCTGATGACGTCAGTTTAGGTAGGACATTCTCTCCAGCTGTTAGTCTGCTGCGAGCTGAGCCCACTTTTTCAAGATCGAATCAATTTTTCTCATTCAATATTCCGTTTCACTCTGAAAGTATGTCACAATACTGAAGTCGGTCACAACTTCCGGTTCACTGTGACTTTAATGCCATTTAAAAAGACATACTGTACTGTTTAATATCACCATTAAAATAGTTAGAATAGTTCACTTAAAAATGGAAATTCTGTCAGCATTTACTCACCCTCAAGTTGTTTCAAACCTGTATGAGTTTCTTTCTTCTGCTGAACACAAAAGAAGATATTTTGAAGAATGGCGGTAAGCAGACTGTTGATGGATCCTATTGACTTCCATAGTTGGAAACAAAAATACTATGGAAGTCAATGGTGTACATCGACTGTCTGGTTACTGACATTCTTCAAAATATCTTAAGTAAATGATAGAATTTCCATTTTTAAGTGAACTAACTATTCCTTTAAGCCCCCAAACCAGAAAATGTCAAATTATAGAGGTAAAGGGGTTGTAATATATTACTAATAAAATATACTCGTGAAAAGTGCACATAACTGTATTTTATTGAATGCGCACTTTAGTGTATTTCAAATCTTAAAAGTATATTTTTAAAACATTGTGCTTGCAGAAAGAGTAATAACAAGGAAACAAAAGGCCACTTTAGTGTATTTAAAGAGTACACTTTCAAGACTTTTGTTAACACTTACTGTAAGTACACTTGTAAAGTGCAATTTATAATGTTAGATTAAGTTACTTTTAAGTACATTTTAAGTTTGTTTTTATAATTTTTGTCATGTTTTAAGTACATGAATTTTGATGTGTTGACTAACATACTAAATCACACGTGAAGCACTTGATTATAGTTTATGTGAATGTAGTGTTTAAATGTAGTAAATTGCAACTTGTATCTATATTCATGACATACAAGTTTCAATAGAAATTACATCAAAGTATATTTATTTTAGTTTACCATAAATGCTTGTCAGTGCATTCAGCAGTAAATTTAACCATATTTCAGAGATAATAGAAACAATTTTGAAATCACATACAGTATAAAGATGTACTTAAGTCCTACTTAAGTGTGTCAAAAAAGTTGCATTTATTATAAATTTAAACTATATTACATTTTTATTTAAAGCTACACTGTGTAACTCTTTTAGTTTATTCTTTGCTAAAAACACTTAGTTCTTTCAAAAATAGATGTGCTCATTAATGTATACTTCGTTCAAGTAATAAAGTATTCTCGTGAGTGCATAATATGCCATTGAAAATACATACGGGTTAAGGGGTTCTAATGTCGGTCGCCATGTTGCCCCTCCATCTTGAAAGTACATTAGCCAAAGAGGGACATACCCGTTAATTCAAGCTTCGCCTTTCGCGTTTAAATTTGAGTTAACACTCATGAACGAGGTCGAACTGGAAGCCATGTTAATCTTGGACTACATTGGCCACCGTAGGAGTTAAAACAAAATCGGAATTGATAGGAACAGAAACTAATATTCACTGGATGGTCATATGCCTTTTCACCGCTAGATGGGGGTAAAAATCACACAGTGTAGCTTTAAGTGCAATCAAGTGTCTGAAAACATTACATTAAGATCACACCTAAGAATATTCTTGTAAAGTATATGGTTTACTTAGATGTGAGAATTACTTAAAGATACATTAGTATCTCCAAATTGAGTTTAAAGTCGGTTCTAATGGCAACTGAATGTCACCTGTAGGTCCAGGGTGTTGGGGATGGAGGCTACACTAAAGAGAAGATCCGCATCGTGGAAGGCGTGTGTCTGCTCTCAGGAGAGGATCTTTACTGGGAAGACTTGAGACAGTTGAAGGTGTGTCGAGGAGCTGGGCTTCACACCTGCATGCGCACAGATACCGTCTCGCTTCAGGCAAGCTCCGCCTCTCTGAATGATGGAGAAACTGAACAGCTGCTGCAGGGCGACCAATCAGAGTGCTCGAGTATCAACACCACCCTTGCCATAACGGCCCAACATCATAGTGCGCATCCCGACACCGGCTGGGTCCCGAACCGTAAAGCCTCTACTGAGAGCGAAGTGTGAAAAATGTATGAACAGACACGGACAACATGGAGGCAGACATATACGGGAAAACAGAAACGTCATTGGCGGTTTCACTTAAAAATTTGCCTGAAAAAGGCTTGAATGCACACTGTTATTAGAAGTAAAACAGGTAGGTACAGTCATATGGACATTTATATATGCTTAAGCAGCTGGTACATAGGAAAGCTAATTCATAAATACATCAACAGCCAAATGAACTGTAAATAGATTTGAGACGGACCTCATACTTGAAAGTTTCCTTTGCATTACTCTAAACGTCAATAATACGTGACATTCTGGATTGGGATTGCCTCTAATGTCTTCTGCCCTCTCGCTTTGGACTGCGCAACGCTTTTTTTTGTGTCCTTTGAACTATGGAGAAGGTCACAGCACGCTGGAGTCAAAGAACAGGCCTAGTGAGTAGGAAGAAAAGAAACACTGACTGATATTTTGAGCCTTTTTGTACACAAGAGAAACTCTTTGAAGTAAACTGCTTTTTGTTTCTAATGCAAGCTTATATTATCTGTTCATGGACTATCAGTTTAGGAAATGCTCAGCATCCAGCTCTCATCTTGTCATGGTAAAAATGTATTTATGAACTTTCTGTACTTTGGATTGGGTTTTTAATGTTTTATTCTTTTGAAGTAGTTTTTAAAAGCGTTAGGACTGTTGAAAGACTCATTCACAAAACGTTGTGATGGTGCCAAAGGACAGAATTTACATACTCATGAAGAATCACACTGAATAAATTACAGTCCATTTTAAAGAGTTATTTTGACTGTTATTACGACAGTTATTTTGTCAAAGATGAAGCCAGTGTATGTCTATATATATATGTGTGTATATATATATATATATATATATATATATATATAACATCGTTCTGGCATTTCTTGTTTGATGCTAAAATATGTTCTGAGTTTATATAGGAAACAAAACAAAAAACAGCCAACCAGAATCAGTAAAGCACCTTGCACTTGCACATGATTTAGCGGTCTATGAAATTATAGGGCTATGCTAATTGTGTAGGTGAATGCAACTGACTGGGTGAATGTCACAAAACCTGTCAGGATCATGTCCAGGTCATGTTTCCCGTAAAATGAAAAGGAAAAAAGAGTGAGCCCAAAATCATTACTCTAACGCCAAATATTCTCATTATTGGAATACATTTAAATTGTGTTAATGAGAATCCTATTTGAAAATAAATAGCTTGAGGACCATGTGGAAAACGTTGAACTGTCATGGAAAGATTCTCCTATATCAAAAGTCACGGTTAGCAGTGCATTTGATCTATTTTAAGGCAAAGAACCAACCGACGTTAACCGGAGTGCATTCAAATCACTTGAAGGGTTAGTTCACCCAAAAATGAAAATTCTGTCAGTATTTACTCACCCTCGAGTTGTTCCAAACCTCTATGTGTTTATTTGTTCTGCTGAACACAAAGGAAGATATTTGGAGGAATGTTTTAATCAAAAATATCTCATTCCCCATTGACTACCATAGTATGTATTTTTTGCTATGGTAGCCTACTATAGTAGTCAATGGGGAATGAGATCTGTTTGATTAAAACATTCTTCCAAATATCTTCCTTTGTGTTCAGCAAAACAAATAAACACATAGAGGTTTGGCACAACATGAGTGTGAGTAAATACTGACAGAATTTTCATTTTTTTCGGTGAACTAACCCTTTAATGCACAGCTAGCCGTGGATTATCCTGCTTATATCATGGTTATTTGTCAGCATTGAAAGTGTCAGCAAGTGGTTATTGATATTTGACCGTAAGGGTCGGTTATTTTCATCAGTTAGATAGTTCTAGCTTTTTGTCTGCTTTAAATCACAAACAGAGATAAAGTGGTGCGTAACTTTACATTTATTTGAAAGAATGAGGCGTTTATTTGCATTAAAGGGTTAGTTCACCCAAAAATTAAAATTCTGTCAGTATTTACTCACGCTCATATTGTTCCAACCCCGTAAGACCTTCGTTCATCTTCGGAACACAAATTTAAAATATTTTTGACGAAATCTGAAAGCTGGATCACTCCTGCATATAGTCCATAGGCTTCTTGAGGGATTGAAACTTGCCAGCCCCGAAAAGTTATTAAAGACATTGTTAAAATAGTCCAAGTGACTACAGTTTATCAAGCGACGAGAACACTTTTTGTTCGCAAAAAATAACAACTTTATTTCAATTATTCATTTACTTCTCTCTCTGCTTTGAGTCAGGTTACTAGTTTAATAGTGTAAGCTTCTGTTGTTGTACGTCAAACGCATCACACACATGACCAGCGTCGGCCAATAGTGAGCCTACGTGTGACGTAGCTCTACGCAATCACACTACGTTAACTGACTAGAGGCCCATAGGGAAGGAAGTGAATAGTTGAAATAATATTTGTTTTTGCGCACAAAAAGTGTTCTCGACGTTTGATAAAGTTAAGATTGACCCACTGTAGTCACTTGGACTATTTTAACGATGTCTTGAATAACTTTTCGAGGACTGCAAGTTTCAATCCCTCAAGAAGCCTATGGACTAGTATGAAGGAGTGATCCAGCTCTCAGATTTCAGCAAAAATATCTTAATTTGTGTTCCGAAGATGAACGAAGGTCTTACGGGGCTGGAACAACATGAGGGTGAGTAAATACAGACAGAATTTTCATTTTTGGGTGAACTAACCCTTTAATAATCGAGAGAGCTAGATGTGTGAATTACCTGCATCTGTTCAGCTGTGAGTTTACAGTAACTCCTTAAAAAACAGTGACTTAACCCCTTCATTGCTACGAAATAATTTAGCAATTCAGCTATGCGAGTGATTTGTGTGTGTGCTTCAATGAAAGCAGTGTATTAATATAGAGCAGTGATTAAACTGACTGGAACTACCTGTGTTTTATAGCACACATTCTAGCCATTCATTATTGAGTGTTCAGACAGGCCATTAATCTAAAACCGACTTTTTATGCAAAACCATTTCTTTCTTTTAGTGGGTTTAATTTTACTTGGACATGGTTTTGTGAAATTCGTCCTATATATATACTGGGAAATGTTTATGATGCTTTCAAATTTGTTGTGTATATGTTTATTTTATATAAAGATTATTTGAGGATGTTCTAAACCCATATGTGTTTGAGTTCTCAAAACCACCTTGGAGTCAGTTCTCCGAGGTTCAGGACTATGTTTTTGCTGCTAAAACACATGGTGCATTTAGGCCACATAGTAGTTTATTGGTCTTGGCAGCTCGATTTGTTGGCTGGCGAGGCAACCGGAGATGATTGCGGTTTACCTTCCACTCCTCCTTTTTCAGAAAACAAATCAGATTTACAAAATGGGAGTCAAAAAAAGTTAATGTATACAGAGTCTTTTGAACAAACATGCATTAATTTTATTCATTTAAATTATATAACCACTTCATTTGTTTGTAGGATTGGTGTCAGTTATTTAACAAGAGTGCTGTTTTTTTTTTTAAGTCCAGAAATTTCAGTCTCATGTAACTGCTGTAAGTTAACTAAGATATATTTATAATTTCTTCGGTTGTATACTTGTATGTAAATATGAAGATGTTGTATATGTAGTTCTTCTTTGCAATACTAACAAGCTGTGTGTGACAGTGATTTACTTTGCTTTTTTCTATCTTTAATATAAAACTGCATTTGCTTTTGAATACAAATATGGCACTTATTCGAGTCACTTTCTTTTAAAGATGGTACATGTGTATTACATTTTTGCAGGTTTTGTGTATGGGAGACCAGGGGCAGTTGTTTTTGTGTTTTGTTTTGCTTTAACATTTTACATAATTCAGATTTTTATAAATCTGCTGGCTATCTTCATGTATAAGGCAGATGAGTCAAGTAATATGGTCATTGATATACTGACATTGTGAAAGACTACTTCCTAAAACTGAATTTACAACATATGAAAGTGTTACATCTGCCGACTTGGAAAAAATAAATAATATGAACCTGCTTTATCTCAAATATGAGCACATCTCGATGAAATAATATTTATGCTTTAATACTTAAAGGTGCATTAGGTGATTCTGGAAAGAAACATTTTTGTTATGCTGGTTGAAAGTCTCCTCATATCCTGATGGCACTCGAAATGTTAAACAATCAAAATGTATTTTTACAAATATATATTTACTGTAAAGGCGTGGGACCATAAAATGTTATATTTAATTATTGCATCCGGTGGACCGTCACACAAGATGTGTTTGCACAGCCTGTTCACGCCAACAGCATACGTCATCAACGCTGTGCAAACAGTCATTGTTTATGTTCATTATTGTAAAACTTCTCTCTGTGCTGTAAAGTTTTCTCAACGGGCGGTGTACGACACATGATGTAATCCAATAATGTTGTCTCAGTCTGGTCATCTCGCTTCTGGTCTGTGCGCATTCATGTGTTTTGGAGGAAGATTTGCAGGGTGGGTGGGATTGTACAGTATGTTGTCAATGCTAGCAGGCTAAAGTTAGCATTTACAAGATGTAAACAACACTGGTCCAGAAATACTTCCTGTTTTAGTTTGTAACTGTTTTCTTTATTTCACATGTAAAGAAAACATCTTAAAGATGTTTGTTTAACTTTTTGATTCAGTTTTATATGTTCTGTTGGTTGTATTTTATCCCAGCTTTTATAGTGTTAAAAAAATTGAAACAGGAAGTGCTTCTGGACCAGTGTTTACATCTTGCAAATGTTTTCTTCCTTTAAGTTGTGCCACATAGTGAGATGAGTTCTCTTTCTCTGCTTATTGAATTTCAACGGTTTAAAATGTTTTGTTTTACCAAAATACTTAAAAATGCATGCAAATGATATGCTTCCATGACCACGCAGCACAGCAACGTCACATGTAGGCTACCTAACCACGATAGAGATGAAAGTCCAAAATCTCAATCAGTTGTAAAATGTCTACTGGTTATATAATCACCCACTCCTACAAGGTAATCATCTATGGAAGCTTGTTTCTGTCATGGAATAAGATAACTGCAACTTTATATCTCACAATTCTGACTTTTTTTCCTCAGAGTTGCGAGTTTTATATTTCAGACTTTTGACATTTCTTTCTCAGAATTGAGAGAAATACACTTTCAATTGCGAGTTATAAAGTTTAAGAATTGTGGCATATAAAATTGCAATTGAAAAAAGTCAGAATTTGAGGAAACAAAATTGTGAGACATAAACTGACGTTTATATGACGTTTTGCGAGTTATCTTTCCATGACTTTTTCTCAGAATTGCGAGATAGAAGCTCACAATTGCGAGTTATAAAGTCAGAATTGTGAGACATGTCACAACTTTTTTTTTCTCACATTTTTGAATTCTCGCAATTTGTTTCTCGCACTTTTTCTTGGAATTCAGACTTTTTTCTCGAAATTGCGAGTTTATATCTCTAAATTCTGAAAAAAAAGTCAGAACTGTAAATCGCAATTGCGAGAAAAAAGTTGCTACTATGTTTTTGTTTGTTTTTTTATTCATAAACAAGCTTCTAATCACCTGCACAGACTCTTTAGCAGCTATAAAAAGTCTGCAGTTGTCTTACTCTTACTGTAAACAGGATAGAGTAGGCTACAGTATGTGATATTATGCAACTTATACAGGCTCCATATAATTTTCTTTGGGTTCCTGCACATAGGAGTAGGAGATGTGGGCAAACTAGCAAAAAAATATTCAATAATGCAGTAATGTCAAAATCACAGTTCACAAACAAATCTGAAGCCAAGGCATTTATTTGAAAATCTGCACCTGGAAGAAACTGGGATAGAGAAACAAAGGGGAAGA